GACTTGTCTCCCATTCCTTAACTGTAATGGAATCGAGTTTCGTTATTAACAAATGAATCAACACGTCATCCCAACTATCTACGGGACGTTCTAACGCCTTAAGGGCTCTGAAATGTTTAAGCATATTGTCGAGCAAATTACGCAATGCCGTGCAATTTTCCTTATGCATTGGAGCAATCTCATACATAGCCTTTACATGAGTTTGAATTATGCGCCTTTTATTGTCAAAGCGCTCATTTAACAATTGCCATGCTTCGTTGTAATTATTCTCCGTGATATCGAATGATTTGACAACTTCAGCGGCCTTATCTTTTAGTGATGAGCGCAAATAATGGAATTTTTGAATGGCCGACAGCCTTTCGTTCGCGTGAATAAGCTTGTCAAAAGAGTCATGGAAAGTGCACCAGTCATCGTACGCGCCAGAAAATGTTGGTAACTGAATTTTTGGCAAACGAATTTGTGAATTTACATTATCTTGTGATGCGACGTGACTAGGATCGCCACTAATTGGCGTATTCTCAACGAGATTGATACGCCTATCATACAAACTTACGACGCTAAAATATGCATCTTCGAATCGCGCGCGTTCTTCGGCATGCGCTGCCGTTACTTGTGCATTTTCCTGTTCTGCAGATTCTAAACATTCAATCCGCGACTGTACTTCGTCAAATTGCTCGAATAAACTTGTTAATTTGCTCTTACGCGCAATTAATTCAAATTTCGTAGCCTGCTCAGCTTGAGGAGAATCTAAATAATTTTTAAGCCTTGTGGCAGCGGCCTTTATGCTTCTCCTCTTTATTTTCGCTTCGCTCTCAGATAAACTCATTTCGTACTAGTAAAATGCTAAGTGACTTACGTGTAGTCTTACAATGAAATCGTTTAATGCCCGTTACAGATATTATTAGGACTTTACGACGTGACGATGCCTCGTTGATTGTTGATCCACCCGTCTGCGTTTGAAATATTAGCGGTTATGTTCGATCGTCGTCCTCGATGCTGTTGTTGGTATACTCAATAGCTGCCTCCGATTCGCCTTGATGTGATCCCTTTCCTTCATCCGACCGTTCAAAGTTGAAAATACTGCCTCAGTGTACCCGGCCGGAACAATATGGCTGCTATGCTTTGTGCACGTGCTCGGTGCTGCTTGGTCGTTTCGTGGACGGCGTGGCCCACGAGTCACGAATCCTTATGCTCAGATGATTGTCCGTGTCTCTCCCAAAACTCGACTTCAACTCTCGAGATGCCTGTCTCGAGGCTTCGCGATCCTCACCGACCACGAAGTGTGGTTATTTTTTCGTGCGATAGTCTTCCACACGGAAGTATCCGGCTCGAAGGACCAATGTTTATATGTAAGGGCGCTATA